TAATGCTTGTCTGAGACCAAATGAGTTAAAGCAGACAGTGATGCTCTGTAAAGCAAATCTTAGTTTGCAGCAGGTTGCTGGTGTTTGCCTGAGACAGTCCATCCGGTTGGCAGATGGTGATCCCTTAAGGAAGAAGAAATGGGAGCTGTGCTGACTCAGGAGAGCAGGTGGTTGTTGCATCAGTTACAGTGAGTGGCTCACCTTAAAAGTAGGACATAGGTTTTAGTGTGCAAACTGTAGAAGGAAGTTGGAGGGAGAAAAAATGTGAGAGATTTCTACATCAGAGTTGAAGAAATGCTGCTTCCCCATGCTGCGTGAGGGACTTGCCCCAAGCAGGACTGCAGTATTAGGAGCCATGCATCTATCTGAAGTGTCTCAAGAAAATATCTACGATAGCTGAAGTCAGCAGTGATCCCAAGAGAAGTTTTGGGAGGTGAGAGGAGGCTGACAGCTGTTTAAAACCCAGTGTATATTGTCAGTGCCTTGTTCCGTCTTTACGCATCTGACTTGTCCATCCTTGTCTTATACACAGCAGTTTCAGTATTTTCTTTCACTTCACACTTCCTGTCCTTCGAGGTTTCTCTTGGTTCTATGGTTTTAATTCTGTTAAACCAAGCTGCTTTGGCTCCCATTCTGCCCGTGCTTTGCACTTGCTGCACATAGTCCCAGCAAACTTGGCAACCAATCCTTGGTGCTTCAGAGAAAACAAGGGTCTGGTCTAGCCACCTTCTGCCTGATGCACTGGTATCCCGGAGCTCCCAGGCATTAATCTGTACTCAGAACAACATGTTGCTGTGTGAACCATTCCTCTCTACTCTCCCCTTCTGCCTCTGTGGAGTTATGTGCACCCTAGTTCTCAGCAGGTACAGGACTAATGTCCCTTGATCTTCATGCAAATGCTTACATGATGCAAGGGGAGATGGATGAAATCTCCCCCAGTGCCTCTGTGAACACAGAATTGCCCCCTCACCTCTTGGCTAGTGGGGCAAGTGGTAATGAGGGAGCTCTCAGTACAAATAGCTCCTTTTGCAAGCCTTAAAAAAACAATGCAGACCAGAGCACAGCAAAGCAAAGGCCCTGCAGAGCCTATTAGAGCACAGTGGCATTCGGGGAGATGTGTTGCTCGTTTCTGAAACGATTAGAAACCAAATCTTGGTGTAAAGAGTCTTATGGCACAGGAAGGGCAGAAAAGCCTTAGTGCAAAGTCATAAGCCTTTCTCTTTCACAGTTAAAGCCCCTGTTGCCCTAGGCAAACATAAAACCTGTCAGCATCCTGCAGCTTACAGTACAAAGATGTGATCAAAATAGCTCCACAACTTTACAACATGGCTAAAATTAGCTTGCAGGTCAGCCTCTTTCTTAAAGGTAGTGGTGACATCAGTGGGAGAGCGCTCATACTGCTGTTTGGTGCAGCAAGAACTGGTAAGCAAAGGGGAAGAGCTGGAGCTTAATTAGCTAAGTCGCATTTGGGAAAGAGAGGGGCTAAGTCATGGGAGAGTCGCACCATGGAGGTACAAGGAGAGAAGGACTGAGAGAAGTCCAGGCAGACCCTCTGCAGGCTTAAACAGAGACTCCTCCTTTTAGGAATTATTTCCATGGCATTTGAGGCAGTAATCTCTGTGCTTCTGTCTCATTATGACTCGTTTCAGGATGTGCAGCTGGACTGGCAAGTGGGCCAAGGGGAGCATTTCTTGCCCCTCGTTTCCAGAAGGTGAACAGGTCAGTCCAACGTCCCCTCTGCACAGTGGCAGAGCAGAGACTGTGGCAGTGGCAATGCCCAGGGTGTCTCCTCGTAGCCCTTCACCCAGAGAGCTGATCTTTCACAGTGCAACTTGCTTATGGAGAAATGTGGATGTTCCTTCATTCTAGGTGCATTTCCCTATTTGTTTTGGCCAAAGGAAATTCACTTCTACGTGGATGAACTGTCTGTTGCCAAGCATGCTGCTCTACCAAAGCAGCAAAGCTGCTCACTGTGATCCTCAGGGTTTTAGTCTCTGTTGTGTATACAGAGTCTGGCCATGGAGAGGAGCCTGAGCCAAGTTTTGAAGTGCAGTGCCTGATGTGAAATGTTATGTGAATCTAATACAGGTTATAGGAGAGGTTTACAGTGCCAGCAATCACCTGTGTTGTGGAGGAAAGTGCACTGCAGCAGTGTGTGCTAGCTAGAATTTCCTTTGTGCTGCAGGTTTCATGCCTAGTGGTTTTATGGTGACAAAACTGTAAAAAATGAAGGCCAGGTCATTACTGCCCGGCTAGGACAATGTCCTCTGGTCGGTCGGATGTGACAGAATGTACTTGCTGATGCTGCTCCCAGGAAGTTTGAGAGAAAGGGAGCCGAATGACAGCAATGTGCTTGTGCCTTAGAGAAAGGAGGTGCTCTCCACTCTTAGGATGCTTTGCTTTGCCCAACATCATTGCTGCTGCTCAGTTTCTGCTTAAGCAGCTGTTCCGCATTTATAATCTGATCTTGCCTTCGCACTGAACCCTCTTTGTGGTAACAGTGCAGTTATTCAAGGTAGTTACTCAGACCAAAGAATGTACTTGGACCAAATTGTGTTCCAGGTGATTGAGAGAAGCTGAGGGGAATTCAATGGGAAGCTTTGAGGAAGAGCAGCCAGAGCTCTCCATCCTAATGTGCTATCTCATGGAGATTCTCAGGAGCTGGCTTTGGAATCCGCTGGAAAGACCAACTTTCACCAGGAAGTTGGGGGAGAGCAGTGGAGGGAAAATTTGTCTTAGCAGGCTGTTTTGGGATCGTTCTAGGAGCTGAAGTACCTCATCTTCCTGAGTACCTTTACTTACTACCACTACCTTATGACCTTTAATGCAGTTAAAGCTCACCGCAGCTGCTCCTTCCATTGGTGAGAGATCCTCCCTGATCTGCCCTGCCCAGCTTGCAAAGGCACCTCAGCAGCCTCTGCGAATGAGCCACGCAGGCCGTGGCAGGAGGAGGCAATTCCGCACCCTGCCCGTCCCATAAAGGCTCCTTGTCCCTTGAGGCTTCCTGGAGTCCTTTGCCATGTGAAGAGTGGGCATAAAATGGACATAAAACATTGCTGTTTCCCTAAGCACTCTGCCCCTTTGTGCAAACAAAAGGTCATTCCTGGTGGAGAGAACAAGCCGGTGACATGGTGGGCGTTCAGCCTGCCAGTTGGACAAAGTCCAGGGCTGATTAGTTTGGGACACTGCGGGCAGGATGCACCCGGACTGGCTCCATGGAGAGAGCTCCGTGTCCCCAGGGCCCAGCGGGAGCTCGAGTCCTGCTCCCGTAATCTGTAGCTTGCACCCAGTGCAGACTTGCCTGTGCTTTGATTGCTGGCAAACCCTCCCAAAGCAAATAGTGATTTTCTGCTTGTCTGCACTGACTCAGCTGCTCTGAGGGCAGGATCTGGAGCTACCTATGCGGTCCGGTGAAGGGTGTAGGTACCGAGCAGCCTCCCACAGGCCAGGGAGGCATCTAAAGCACCTTGCCTAAGTCCCAGGAACTGCACTGGAGGGAACAGTGCTGCATTGGGCCAGGAAGCTTGCCCAGGAGTTATTAATCTCATAACATCCCTAGCTCTATGATATTTGAGTAGTAGTGGGGTGTTCTTTTCCTGCATGCAATTGCTAGCTGGCAGGTGGGAATTCAGGGAAATCTGGGCTATCTCTAGGAAACAAGCACAGAAAACTCTTTCCTCCCCTTGGGAAGCAGCAGCCTTCGCTACGGCCTCTCATGATGAGGGGCTCACAGATGAGGAGGAGCAGGAAATGTGCTGGGCTTCGCTTCTTTAGCAAGTCTAGATGTTTTCCCTAGTCCCAGCACTGTGAGTCAGCATTTTGGGAGCCTAGAGCTGTTTACAGCAGCAGTCAGAGAGATGGAGCTCGGTAGGTGGGATGTGGAGGTGCAACTAAAAGCGAGCGCCCTCTTTGCTCACATGCAAGTAAAACAGAATATTTGGGATTATCAGTGCAGTGGGATACAGATGACACTCTCCCCATCAAGTGGACTCATTTTGCACTGTCCTGACCACACTGGCTACGTGGGCCCCTAAAATTGTTTAAGCAACAGACCAAATGCTGAGGTTTGTGCTCGGAGCCCAGATCTGCTCTGGGCTGAGCAGCCTTGGAGTGTCTGGTGGCGTTGCAGCCTGAGGTCTGTGCACTCAAGGCTGGTCCCTGCCTGGCAGGTCAGCCTGGCGGGAGCTCGTGGCAAAGGTGGCAACATCAAAACCAGGATGGATTATTTTAGATCTGCAGCCTCAGTTCTGCAAAGGTATTTATTTTGAAAATGCTAGTTTCCATAGCAATGTAATGCTGTTCTCTCTCATCTCTCTCCTATTACTCCAATCTTAGCAGCCATTAGATAAATTAGATAAATTGTCAGTGAAGCATTTTTTATCTTCGGATTGATTTTATGTATATTGGTTCCTCAGTGAATCAGAGCCAGTTAGTCAAGGATTGACTCATATGCTTTCCTGGAGCAGAGATAAGTTCTACTGCAGCCTAAAGATGATAATTAAGAATGAATATTATTAATTGGACTTGTCCTATGAAGTTCTAGGCTACTTTCCAGTAGAACAAGGCCTTACACCTAGGCTTCTGATTCAATTACAGATGTATAATTTATGTTACATCTTTAAATTTTGCTTGTGCTGTAGTTCTATTAGGACACTCTTCCATGCATGTAGTAAACTCTTTTGCAGGGCTGCTGCGTGCTGCTATTGGGATGCTGTTCTCCACACCAGAGGTGATTCGGCTTCGTTAACTAGTGCTCGTGGCTCCTTTATTCTCCTCTTTGGATGTATTAGAGAAAGAAGCAGTTTCTTAAAAACAAAACAAGCAATTCACTTTTGTGTGTGTGTTTCTTGGTGCATCTTGCCTTTTTGTTCAAGGTACTACTGCTTTTGCCAGCATCGCTACGTCGGTTAAATTGTAAAAATGCCAGCCTTAACCCAGCAGCAGTAATGGCACACAACAAAGCGTAGATCACTTGTTCTGCTGTATGTTTTGTCTTTTAGGGAGATGGTTTAGCAAGTTCTCTGCCAATTTAAACTGCATCTCCAGTGGGGAAGCTGTCCCAGAATAACTATTCTACACATCCTTTGCTCTGTGCAGCAGCCTCTGTCCTCTAATCCAGTCCTCGTGAGTAGGTGAGTGGTGAAATAAAGGCAACTGTCTGGGAGAGCGAGCGTGCTGCTGCGGACCCAATTCCAAGATAGGGAGTAGTGTAAGAGAGTCAGCTTTAACAGTTGATACTTAGTTGATATATACAAAAATATCTGCATTTCATAAATTAATTGGAGGATGGATCCATTAAGTTGAGGGCATAAGAGCCCGTTGGTGGTAGATACTAGAAGTTTTTACTGTCCAGTGACCACTGTTTGGCTTGCTGTTCAGTATTGGTTTCTGCTGCCTCCTGTTTTCCTCCCTGACTAGCTAGATCTGTCCCTTCTCTGATTTATACTCAGTTTGAGTTCTTCAGAGTAGATCGTTCCATTACGAGCATATACTGTTCCCTCTTCTATAAGAGCTCTCCAGATGCTGGATACCTAGCTGAATCTCCTGTAAAATCCAGAGAGTTAGATTATCTAGCACGAGTCTGCTTCTTTCAAAAACATCTATTTTGGATGTTTATGTTTACTTTTAGCTGAATTATGCCTATCTTTTAGGAATGCTAATAATGTCCCGCTCTTCAGAGTGTTATATGTGAATGAATTCTGTATGTACTTTATGCAAAGCATTAAAAGGTTAGAAGGTGTTTGCTTACCTGTTTGTAATTTGCCATTTTGCTTTTATGTTCCTATATTCCTGTTTTAAAAGAAGAGAAAAAAAAAAATAAAAAAGGAGGGGGGAAATAAAATCCCTCTTTCAAAACAGCAGGTGCATGGTATCCAAATGCAATTAGAATGAAATGGAAGTGACTAGTGACCTTGTGACTGTTGTGTTGCATAACCCGATAAAAAGTGCCTGGGATTTGTGGATTGAGCTCTTTCTCATTTGTCTTGCAGAGGTCAAAGTCCACGGTGAGCCGGGACCGTCAGTCCCACACACGAGTCAGGTTAGTCCAGAGCCACACGTGGGTCCCAGCGCGGCTGGTGTGAGGGCAGCTCTTGGCAGAGCACCTTGGAAAGGGGTTGTGCCCATTTCCCTGGGGTCCCTGTGGTGATCCTAGGGAGGCAGGAGGCTATCCGCAACTGTCTGGAATCCCAGAGCTGGGATCCTTTGAAGTCCCAGACAAGGACCAGTGTGAGACTTGGCAGAGGCTGGCCTGCTATCCCACCTCCTGGGCTGCTGCTTATGTGTCCAAGAAGCTGCCTCCAGTTTACATGTTTGCAGTCTAGTAAACAATTTTTCATGCCGATTTAGGCAGCAGATGTTACTCACGCCCGTGTTTACAACAGGGGCGAATCCTCGCATCTAGTCCCATTAAATGACGAGCGTAGCCGTGAGAAGGAAGCCGCTCTGGTCAGAGCTGTTCTGTTACAGCTTGCTCACAGATAGCAGCAAAATAAACTGAGGTGGCTGAGGTGGCTGCGGGCTCAGCTGTGTCACCCGCCCAGGTCCAGAGCCTTCATCCCTGCACAGTGTTTAACCACACGATGCATGTCCCGCCTTGCTGCAGTGCCAGCCCCTTCTTAAGGGTGTTAATACTTGTATGGTCCCTCGGAGAGGAGGAGGAGGAGAACAGCTCAGTTGAAGCAGAATAGCTGGGAGGAAGGTGAGCGCTCTCTGAGTGTTAAGAACATCGTTTTAGCTGGATTTCTCAGGCTGGCTCAGCCTGGGTCAGAGATGCAGCCGCGCTGGAGCGAGAGCAAGCGGGCAGGATGGAGAGATGACCTTCTCTTTTGGGAGCCTCTAGCCGCTACGTCAGTTTTGCTGTCTCAGAAAGCTCTGCCCTATGGTTATTTTTAGTGCTGTGCTGCCTTACTTTTCTGGGGAGTGAATGAAGGATTAACATAGAGTATTTCTGGCTTTTGAAAATTAAGTTAATCGGGGGGAGGAAAAAAAAAACTTTGCATGGGCTATTAGGTAGAAATACTTAAGCTACTAGTGATAGGAAATGCGTGTCACAAGATCTATCTTACAGTTCAGTTAGGAGTTGATTCTTTCTTTCAAGAAGTCCAAGCAAAAATCTACTACCAAACTGTCTCTGTGTCTGGGGAGAGAATTTTTTAAAGAGACCTTCTTTGTAGCTATAAATAATGTACAGAGCAAAGTACAGAAATGGAGCTCAAGGAGAGGCCCCACCGCTCCCGGTAACCGAATTCCTAGCAACTGGATATTCTCTCAGTGAGGGTATTTGTACCCCTTTTCAAGCAGAGGATGGCACAGAGCCCTGTCACCCCTGTGATCCGTCACGACTGAAGTGTTTCTCCCTCTGAGATGCAACTCTTCTGACTTGAACATCAAGTAGATGGGTAAATTCTGGCTTCGTTGTTCTGCAGTATGTTGGGCTTCAGGGGCCAAATGCTGCCAGGTGTGGGTGAGTTTGGTTATGAACACCCCTGGAACTGCACATCTGCCTGAGTGCTTTGCTATGTTGGGCTTCTGGAATGCAGAGCACTCTGCAATATTTGCCCTGCTTGAAAACATTTTGGCAAAGCAAAAAAAATGTTGCACGTACCTGAAATAAGACCCCTTTCCAGTGTCTAGAACTACTGTAATCTTGGTGTTTCCAAACTGTGTATCTCAAGCAGGAGACGAGCACAAGAAATCTTACAAAGCCAGCATTTTTCGTTTTGCTAATAGGTTAAATGTGTATTCTCAAGTTCTAACTTAACCTGAAACATTTATTGGAAAAGAAGGGTTTTTAAAGAGGATTTGGAAGGAAATTCTTTGTGCTTAGAAGATCTGCGGAATGGCTTCCAAATTTACCTGCAGTTTAACATGAACTCAAAACCCATCTCGGGTCAGGGTCAGGTTCTCCAGAGAATTTTTCCCATGTTCCTGCTGCGATGGAATCATTCCTTACTGCCTTCATTTTGCAGCTTTTAAATGGCAGGTTTTCTGAAAAGTCACCTACTTTAAAGACTTAGATTCGGAGTTATTTGGCTAGAAATTAGGCAGGCTCTGCCCAACTTGTGTGCCAGGATGTGGGAATACTTGGCAGCGGACTTGAAATTCCAAGGAAAAATAACCTCTTTCCTTTGCACGAGGCATGGCCAAGTTGCCAAAGGCGCGGGGGCAAGGAAGAACCCCCCTGCAGAAGAGGGTGTGAAGTCTCCAGCTTCCCCTTTCACCAGCCGTGCTGATGACAGCCCCAGCAGCTGCTCAATGTGGGTATCTGCTCGGCCTGCTGCGACCTTGTGCGGAGGGCTTGAAAGAAGAGCGTGAAACATCCAAACCACGACCAAGCTGCAACTGCCCATGCTAAGAAGTGTGGCTGGTAGTAAGAAGTGTAGCGGGTGGGACTGCAGATCCCTGCAGGGCTCGTCGATGCCTCCAGCGAGCGCGTGCTGCAGCTCCTGGGGTGCTCAGGCCACCCCGACGCAGCGTGATGGACCACAAACCCCAGCAATACCGTGGATTTTTTCCATCTGCTTTTGCCCTCTGCTTATATCTAGCGCAATACCAACACTACCACTCTTCTGTGAACAGAAGTTACTTTGCTTGCATGTAAAGAAAACCCACTGCTCTCCCTATTTACATTCCTAATAGTTGTGCAGAGCGATGATTTGTTCATAATTAGGGCTTCTTTCTTCGGTGTCTTTTGAAGTTCATTTCTTCAAGCCAGATTTTAATATTAAAACTAAATTCTTCCAAGCTAGCACTAGCGTGTCAACATTGATTGAAGTCTGACTCCTCGTTTTAAGACTCGTCTCCTCACTGACGTGAGGTCACTTGATGAGTCAGTGTCCGACAGGACCGTTATCCCCAAGAGCGCGGGTAGAGCCCAGCGGCCACAGCTGCTTGTTTAAACCATCTCACCACCTCTCAACCCCCTTAAGCAGAAGTCCTGCTGTTTCAGGTACCCCAAATTTAGTCTTGGAGCTGGAGTTCTGGTGGGAAACATCTTTACGTTGGACATATGAAAACGGAGGGAGGACAAAGGTGGGAAGCTGTGCTTGAAGCATCAACTTGCAGCCACGCTGTGCTGAAATACAACTTGGGAACCCTGCAGGCAGAGGCTCTGCCTCTTATGCAGTGCCCAAAAGCAGTCTGAAACAAAGTTCCAGCCAATGAAATACTATTTTTAGGATTGTCTGTTCACCTCCTAGATGCCTTTTGTTCATATTAGTTGTGTTTAATTATTTGATTGCGTTTTCCATTGTTGTCCTCCTCCCCAAGCGTGGCAGAGCACAGCATGAGCATCGGGAGGTGAGTAATCAAACTGGAGAGGACCAAGTCCTAGCAGGATTCTCCCTCCAGCCTCTGCCTCTCAGCTTGTGTCCCCTCCATCCTTTTCCTGCTTGTCCAAGCATCTCCTTGCTCCGCTTCCCAACCAGATGCTGTGTGTGCAGAATCCCTGAGGAAGGCTTGGAAGCAAGAGGGAAGGCTTGGAAGCAAGAGGGAAGGCTTGGAAGCAAGAGGGAAGGCTGGAATGGAAGCCTCTTGGGGTGATCAAGCCAGGTTGTTGGGGAAGAACAGGCAGTTTTTGGGCAAAAGCGCCCTCCTCACCGCATCCTCCTGCCCAGGGAGCGCAGGCCTGCAAGAGCGGCATCCCCCAGCGCCAAAATCAAGATCCCATCACAGAACCGGGGGGGAACCGCCACAAACCCCGGGCCGCTCCCCTCCGTTTCGCTGAGTGTTCCCCACGCTTCTCCCTTCAAAAAAAAACCGCTTTCTGGGGGCCCGTTTTCTACTTTTTTTAAATCGTTTTACACGTGGAGCGGGGGGGGGGTGCCACCGTGGCAAGGGCCGCGCTCTGCCCCGTGGGGGGAGCCCGAGAGCTGCGGAGGCTCCG